GAAAAAATGTCTTCGTTTAAAGGGACATTACCCCTCAAGGTACGATCAAAATTTAGCTGACTTGGTGCACCCTTCTGCAATCTCAAACTAGCTGGTGAGACTTTAGCGTATTTGATCTCCCTCTCGATAGCAATTGAATATTTTAATAAACACGGAAGCAACATCAGTTTTCGGCAACACAGGCGCACACTTGAGCACTGGCGTATTTGGCTGCTTGCTCTACGAGCGCCCGCATTCAAGTGAATGATTTTGTTGCATAGTCAGCTGTGCGGGAACATGAGCTACTTCAGCCCTCTCCAGCTTGGCGCTACAAATGAATTAGATAAAGCGGCCAATTTGTTTTGTAGAGAACGACGACTGCGCATCTTGCAACACATGACGTCTAAGATGTAATGGTAAAATGTCGGTCACTGATGGTGGGCAGAAATAATAGCTGGTGGCTCTTAAAGCCTTTTTCGCACTAAATTATCATTTTAGGGGCTTCTTGACATATGGGCAGGCATAACGGACTATTTTCTTCTATTTTTGTTAAAAAACACAAGCTTATAAGTCACTGTGTTGTAGCTCCTTTACCATCCTTTTAATTGAATGTTGAAAATCATGCTGGGCCGGTGCATGGGAGACAACGACAAAGACATCATGACGAAGACATTTTACTGCACGAGCAGTAGAGTGCACACGGTATGCGGGCGACCAATTTGTTCGCCATCTCGGAACCGCTTAGCGCTACACGCCAGAAAAACCGACCGATGTGTCTTTTACCGCAAGGGATATGAAAAAGAGACACTAAATTAGCCTAACAGATGCAAAAAATTATTTCTGAAAGCATTTTGGTATCAAATTATTATTTGGAGCTCAAAAAAAAAAAAAAAAAGAAGGCGTAGGTTAAAAGTCCAGTTTCTGCATTCCCCGTCAGTACATAGAGCCGCCATATATCGTTTTGTTGTGCAACCCACGATAGTTTCTATTTTTCTTTTCAAGAGTGCCACGAAAAATGTAAACACGTTCTTCAAACGACAGGCGCTGATTACATCGAATATTACAGTCTAGTGTCAGCGAAAGAACTATATCTAAATATACGACGTTGGATATTGTTGCACCTCCTTTTCCCCATCACCGTATTTGAGTCTTTTTTTTTTTACTATTACACGCAGTATGGCGTCCCTCTCAAGATTATTCACTGACAAAAGATCACGCCAGCTCCACTTCGTGAAAGCTGATGCACCGCTTATTGAAGGTGTATGTCTTTCTTATGTGTTTTATGTCTTTGTTAATGTTTCTATGTCGTGCAACTCTTTCCTGTGTATCGTTGCTGGTTATTTCACGGGCTCTGCACAGCTATGCAGCGACTATATGCTCGTTCATCGCCACGCTGAAAAAAGACAGCAGCATTGAAATTCAGTTTCTTTTTTTTTTTTGTAGCGCCATTACTCATTTTACCCATCCTCCCGCCAGCTTTTAGAAAACGTGTGCAACTTCCCTCCTGAGCATATCTTGTGACAGGCAGGTGGCTTTTAAGCCCCGCCCCAGTGGGCTAGTGGCTAAGGTGCTCGGCTACTGACCCGCAGTATCCCGACTGTGGTGGCTGCATTTCCGATGGAGGCGGAAATGATGTAGGCCCGTGTACTCAGGTTTGGGTGCACGTTAAAAAACCCCAGGTGATCGTAATTTCCGGAGCCATCTACTACGGCGTCTCTCTTAATCATATGGTGGGTTTGGGACGTTAAACCGTGCACAAATCAATCAATAATTCAATCAGGTGGCTTTTAATGTGCTTTCCGCTGAAGCTCACTCTCGCCACTTTAGGCCGGCCTTCCATTTAACAACTGAAAAATAAACTCCACTAGTGCGACTCGTGTCAGGGTACAGGCACCACCTCTAACGTGTGCTAGGTTGTAAATGAAGTTCGTTGAGCTGCAAAGTTCTCGGCTGGAAAAATGATTTTGCGACAATTCCACCCGAGAACATGCGGGCACTGTGGTTCTAAGAGACACAGTGGCAAATCTCGACGCATTAAACAGCAGTAAATATATTAATATACAGGATGAGGTGATGTGCACCAAAGCAAGCGGCGTATTCTTAGAGATCCGATATTTGAAAAAAGCGCACGGTATGCATTCACTAAGTACATCAAAGTACTCGATAATTATGCCACGGCCACTTCTTCAAACCTGTCGGCGCTAGGAAGCTATAGCTTTCAAGTGTGACGCACGAGCTTCTTTTATCATCATCATCATCAGCTTCACTATGCCGACTGCAAGACAATGGTTCCTTTTTAAAAGGTCCTGCAAATGCCAACGTGTTTCTCCACTTCTACGTATGCAGCTTATTTGATGTGGGCATTATTTGCGGTAGAACGCGCTCGAACTTATTTGTACGATGGTCCTTCATATTTAGGTACGTCTGCCTACTGTATCAGTGATAAAACAAAAACAATTTCAACAAAATAAACCTGCTCTTTTTTCTGTAGCCATAAAAAATTTGTGGTTTTTCTGATGGCCCCCTTTCAAGCGCTGACGGGAGTCCGAGGCGAAATGACAAAGTTGGTGTCAGCTTATATTTTTCAGCGACTGTAACTCCCACTGCATCGAGCACTCCTCCGTCTAACTTCGCTGTTGCCTTGATATCATCTACACCGCGCACGGCAAACTGTCCACCAAAACGAGCTTCGCTGGTAAAATAAACCGCACTAAAGTAAAAGTGAACTAGTGGTTCCATGCGTCAGCCATTTTAGACGCCCATTCTGTATCTTCGTAAACACTCGTGTCCTTTGATGTACAAGCAGCAATCATCTGCGCTCAGCCGCAGACTACAGCCACGCAGATAAGAGCCCCGTCTCACCGTGGTCATTCTTTTTTTTTTTAGTTTTGAGTTGGTGTGTCATTTTTGTTGTTTTCCAGTGCACGTGCAGCTACAGATAAGACGCCATACAACCGGCTACTCTAATATACAGTCTTGTATTGTGTAGCACAGACCCCTTGCGCCACATGAAATCTTCCCTAATCAGCCATCTTGCTTCCTGTTTAGCGCAAATCAAGCACTTTTTATTATTGCTTTTGTAGTTGTCTCTACAGGTGTCACTGAACTCGGTAATCTTCAAAGCACAGCTGCCTCTACGGTATACTTATTGCTGCTAACCTTAGTGCAAATTGGGAGTCTAGATGGATGGGAGTGAATGAAAACAGCTTTTAAAAGGTAACTTAGACATGGCCTATCGAGAGGAAAACGAGCTTGTACGTCAGTTACGAAGAACAAATAATTATTTAAAGCACTGATAGTTACCAGAACTAATAGTGCTAAAATCTGTATTAGAGTGGAGTAAATCATAATACTAACAATAGCGCTACCAAAATATACAGTTAAAATATATACTACTCAATTTTCTAACTATGATACCATAAAAGTGTAATGTCATCCAGCAACAGCGCTTGCGACAGTGCTTGCAATATATGCCTACTGACATCTGCGTAAATTTCACAATCACTGGCCAATAGTCTGAAAAAACAGGTCTCTAGAATTACACAATAATTATCTAAATGTTAGAATAGCATGTACACAAACGCCAGTAGACCAGTAAGTTGAAATAATACAGTTTTAAAATCTAAACGTTACATTGAGCGTCCCAAAATTATGAACGACTTCAATTTAAACCCTCTATAAACACAACGGTCTTATCTACTATTCATTTAATTGTGACCATGGGCATCGTTTGCAGCTATTAATTTTCCAAGCGAAGAACCCCTAGCACCGTTCGTTGTATTTTTCTTTATGACCATCACATCTAGAAAACATTGACCTTCACTCTTGAATTATTTATTGACCTTTAGGCTCTCATTGTTCTTAGAGAGAAGAAGTGACAAGGGAGCAAGATTCAACAAGAACGACGAGACTTACCATTTGCAACCTTTTTTTTTTTCCATGAGGTACACACATCGAGTGCTGTACATACAGCAGTGTTATTGTGGCGCAAAAGTAACTAACCAGAGTTGCACAGCTTGCTGAAGTGTCAACATTGTCATGCATATTTTTCGGCACCTGAAGGTAGGACGATGACGCTAGCCGCCTGACCATATTGCACAAACTTAGAATAAGAAAGAGGACTTGGGCATGAAAATACTTTTTTGAAGAAAGCATAAGCACTACATGCTTGCTTGATGCCCGTTACCTGATTATTTATATAAAATGGTTTTTTGTTACAATAAGCTATGGCAAGTATAACACAGTTTTTTATGTATTACACAGGAAGTAACATATATAACATAGTTCGTGATGGGTGTTTCCACAAAATGTGACAAATATAGCGCAGAGAGCCTCATGACAAAACAAATCAGCAGTAGACGACCGTTATTGCAGCACCATAATTTGGTGAAAACTTTGAGGATGACAGCTTATTGAATGCATCTAGGCACTTACACCGTATACAACAGACAGAATAAGAGTGTACGATGTGTATGTTTTTTTTCAAGTCGATTGATTACGGCTTCAATTTCAGAAGAGTCGGCTGTGAGTGACCATCTTCCAAGCCGCTGTTTAATTACATGAACTTTCTTCTGCACTACTTCATACCAGAGGTGTTGCTAACGGCTCCTGCACTATTTTCTATGCGAGAGGTGGCAGGAAGTTCTGAAATCATTTGCCCCTCTTGTAACTATTGTGAGGCATAATTATTTCACGAAATGCATCATGCAATAATGTCCATTTTTTATGTATACTTATATGAGGAAGGGAGCTGTGGCATCGAGAGAGAGGCTTTTCTCAATCTCTACTTCCGTTACTTCAGTGACACACGTTATCGCGAATGTTATAATATTCCTTGGAGTTTTACGTCCCAGAACAGTGATATATAAGACCACCGTGAAACGTAGAACATCCGAGATTTCTTAATGCACATCGAGATCTCAGCACTTGAACCTATAGCATTTTGCCTTAGTCAAAATGGCCGCTACGGCTGTGTCAAAAACATATAGAAAACAAAAGTGAATGGCAAATTGTGTCTTCACCTTAGCTCTGAGGTAGGCATCTGTGGGCAGCATCCTTGGCTCTGGATACATCTCCTCCAAGTATTCCATAATGGCCACCTGAGAATGACGTAGTAATAGCTTATACTATTGTTATATTACCATTTCCTTTTTAAATGGGGGGTTTAACGTCCCAAAACCACCATATGATTATGAGAGACGCCGTAGGGGAGGGCTCCGGAAATTTTGACCACCTGGGGTTCTTTAACGTGCATCCAAATCTGATCACACGGGCCTACAGCATTTCCGTCTCCATCAGAAATGCAGCCGCAGCAGCCGGGATTTATCCCGCGACCTGCGGGTCAGCAGCCGAGTACCTTAGGTGCTAGACCACCGCGGCGGGACACTATTTCTTTTCTGATAACAGTGGTGGGAATGCCAAGAGGGTTTGCCAAATATTTGTATATGACTCTTCATACAATCATTTTATTGATTATTTGTTATTATTTATGAACGCTTTTTTCACTTCATGAACATAGATCGTATGATTCTGCAGGGAGCACATTCAACGTTATTGCAAACTATTGACCTTAAGAATGCAACATTGTGCGGAAATGCATTATCTAAAGTTGAAAGGTCAGCTTAGCTCATGAAAATTAAGCTTGGGAAAGAGCGAGCATTATTATCTGTCATTCCACACTGGCCGGACAGAGTTTTTTAATCTTTCTTAAATATTAGAATCATTTATTACCGAACGTTTCTTGTGTCAAGCTCTCTAATTTCATAATGACATGCCGAGCATCATGCGCCTGACGATGCTGCATTGACAACTAAAATATTGACGAAGAAAACATAGAGGGATGGGTATTTTTAAGAAATCAGCTCAATAAATGTCAGAACGTACCGATTGGCTGATGGGTTTTCCGTCGACCAGTAAAACTGGAACCTGTCCCATTGGATTCATTGTTTTGAATTTTTCGCTTTGCTGAAAGGGAAAGTGAAATGCAGTGAGCATTATTGTGACATCAGGCTTCTAAAAGCGCAAATATTGAAAAAAAACTTTAGAAGATTCATAATGTAGTAATGCCGTGAACTTTGGTTGTAAGTTGAAAGCAAACTAGTGCGGCTGCAAGCCTTTGTGCAGAGAGCGATCAGAGTTAACTTAGGTTCAAAACAAAGCACCATTTCCATGAGCTAAAAAGGGCGAGGCCTTGCCATCCAACCGACCTAGAAGTTTCACGGTGTTCTAGCAGTGCAATCACCTAGGGAGGAGCCGATGACCCCTCTACGTTATAGTAGAATAGTCCCCAACGCCTTCTCACGACCTCAGTCATGACAGGGTGCGCAGGCTAGCGAACTATTTCATAACGTCTATAGCAAAAGTCATCGAAGTAAGAACTCTTGCAGCCTTTCTGGACGACCGACCGGCACCAGGAACTCTAGCCCTGAATTTGTTCTTGTTGCGACGAACGACCCATAGCGCGCAGTGACATACATAGGCTGTACAATATTTACGGATTGTGTCTCTATGTGTACCCTATACATCTCTCACTTTCTCCTTTATCCTCTCGTCTTCCAACCTTTTAGTCAGCTTGCACTGACGTGTATAGACTTGCTAGGTGCGCAATCGCACTTAGGTAGTGTCACGCAGCTACGAAAAACGGCTTCTTTTTCCTTTTTTCACACATATAAGCACTCCTCTCAGAGGGTGCCAAACGAGTCAGTGTGTAGTCATGTGTCTTTATTTCTTTCTCTCGTGGTTTTCCGTGAATTGTAGAATGGACATTACGGTCATTACGGAAGAGCACGCACCGTATTCATCCTTTTGTGCATCGCTTTAAGAATAGGAGCGCTAATTTGTCCGGTACACAATGCAATGACTCGAATGTGGCAAAGAGTGAGTACAGAGAGATCGAGAGAAGCAGAGACAAAGAAATATTTGCTGAAAAATTTCATGCTAGATTGAGAACCACGTGCCAACGTTAGGAAGGGGAACGTCGTCCTTGCTCGGCTATCCAGGCACCATCCTTGTACCGTACAGTATTGCAAAAGAGCAGAAAATAGGGGTGTGGGTGAACAGAAGCGCAATGAGAAGGGAAGGGCAAGGACATAGAAATAAACAGATAGAAAGTGTTGGCAAGATAGTGAAGAAGAACCACAAAATATAGAAGGAGAAAGAAGGATTAAAAACAAGAAGGGAGAGAAGAAGAAGGAAGAGATGAAAATACGAAGAGACTGAGAAATAAACAAACACCGATTGAAAGAGATAACAACAATACAGAATAAAAAGGCATAAAAGGGAGCATGCATAGTCATGTACAGAATTGTACACTATAGTACGCATCATTGGGCAGAGCACAAAAGGTAACACTCAAGAGAACAGTATAGTGTGAGCGGGAAAATGGGAGATGTGAATGTAAATGCCTAGCGAAACCAGGACACACTGCTGCCCAGTAGCTCTGCAGTGAGGCAGATTTGTGTGACCAATTACAAGCTGTGCTGATAAGAGACTATAAGGTAGTTGAATCTCATCTCAGCTTCTGTGCCTGACTGCCATGATCTCGAACATATTACACAACTACACTGTTAGTCTATATTTTTTCTTCTTACTAAACCCCCGAAGGTTACCCTGTCTTCTGCTTCGTGTTATTTCTAATGCTATACATACGTAGAATTCTGTCTAGCAAGCAGACTTCTTCTGTGATCTTTTTCAAGTTATTTATTCTTATGTATCATAGGAAGGGAAATACATTCTTCTCAACAAATATGAAGCACCGCTTCGCCTCAACTAAAGTAACAAATGTTTGTTTTCATTTTCTTCGAGTTCTCCTATGCCATAGTGCCATCCACCCTCATTCCCCTTTTGGTAGCGCACTCGGAGCTCTTAGCAATGTAGTCACGTCTCCACAAGTCGGGCAAAGAGTGAGAGGGAGACAAAATAAATGCATGAGTCCTGCTGGGTCAAATATAAGACGTATAGAAGAGAAATTGAAATGTTACAAAACTCCTTGCCAAGTTATTGCAAGTCTTTGTAAAATATTTTTCGTAAAATGACGACCGCAAAAAAAAACGAGAAAGAACACATTGAATGATACGAAGCACCCATATTTTTCAAGGAGGATCAATGTACACGGGACCGCGACACTTTTTGAGCATGGTTAGAAAACGCTGCCGATTGGTAGTAAAGGCTCCCGACAACACGCGAGCCAAATCTTATAGCGCCGCACGCGGCCTGGAGTTTAGAATAAATTATAAAAGTCTGCAAATTTTTTTTCTCTTCCCTCGACAGACACGCAATATACGCTAAAATCCCACGAAGCAAACCCATCTATCAGCCATTTGGCTGATTTTAACATGGGTCGCTCGCTCGTTACAGAGATTGCCGCGGGAGGCCACTACTTGTTCATGCGTGCGCACGCGATCTCACTGAGAAAGCTGCGCATTCGAAGAAAAAAAGAAGAAAAAGTGCTCAAGGTCATAAGGCACGTGGGCCGTTTCTCTGTGGCCCTGCTTAGCTTCCAGCGCTTTTGTCGGAACGAGAAAAGAGAGAATGCGATTGCAGCGTGTGAAAAATCTGTGTAGCTACACTAGTTCTAGACGGATTCTTAAAAAGTTTGTGGCATTGAATTCATGAGGCATTAAGCTCTCCAGTGAATTCATTTATTTGGTTGCTTGGAACAGTGTTTCAGGGCGCCTTTAAGAGCCCGCCGTTGAGCTTGTAGTCACGTAGGCAGTATGGTGGAGACGATATAATGAATATTGTAATCACCTGCTGTTGTAAGAAGTTCGGTGTGGTGACGACCATATACGACCAGAGATAAAAAGGAGGAATTAACGGTTAGTGTTACGGCGGGGGTATCGACAGCGTACTGCACCTTCTCTTAAGACGAGGGGGTGATTTTCTTCTCTCCTTCCTACACATGATGCATCCTCCTCGCATCTTAGTTCTTGAATGCACGTGAACAATATCAGCACTAAGCACTAGAGCCTATCAAGATATCGCGTCGGCTGCACGCTGTTATCGCCGCTTGCGCAGTTTGTGTTTTGTGTGCTTTTACGCAAACACAAAAAACGAGGTTTGATCGGTGGATTATGCACGTTGTTCATGCGAGACAAATAAGAACGGGTGGGCGGGTGTCGAACGCGATTCTTCACTTTTACGCAGGTTCGAATGGAAATGCTAGTGATGCAATGCGGGGGCCTTCACACATGTACTGTGTACTTAAATTGAGATTCGGCCGGGACTGGTGCTACCAGGCATTGAGTAAGAGGGAAGCTGGTTAGTCTATTTCTGCATTTTTCTTCCTACGTTCTCTACTTTTTTCTATATCTGTTTCTTATACGTCAATTACGTCTGCCTTTTTATTTCTATTTATTTATATTTTCGGTGCGTGTCTTTGCTTTTCTCGCTATTTCAACCCTTTTTTTTTCCTTACCCTACTTTCTCTCTCTCTCTTTGTTGTTCTTTCTATGTTATCCTTTACTCTCTCTCTTCCTCATTACCATGACTTCCCTTTGCTGCCGCTTTGCTATAAAATGTTACACGAAGCTTCACTACGTTCTGTTAGGGTGGCTGGCTCGCCGAGAGGCTGGTAAGCTCGCTTCCGGGTCATAGTGTACGCGAATTCAACTGCCTCCTCACCAAGAAATTTTCTCTTTTCCTGTTTTTCTCTCTCTCTCGGTATTCGTTCTCTCTCCCGTAAGAGCTATTTCATTTTATGACTGAATAAATCGGCCGCCGCATGTAGGTATCTAAGCATATGCAGAAGGATTATAGGAAGCGAAAGACAGAAGGAGCACCTGCTGATTCATAATAGTGACAGTTTCTGTTCACACTGCCCGGCGCATCGGTTACCTTGAAGAGCCCCGCTCTTTAACGACGTAAGAACAGTAACTAGAAGAAAGTCATAAATTTTGATGCAGGTTAGCAATAGTTTCATTGCTATGTTTCCAAGACAGGTTGGACAACATGAGCAGACCAAGGCGCTTACACCAACTCAAATTCCAAAGGCGTTTCACTGAGTTCAGTTCTGTAAAAAAATATTTTGTTTCTATTTGGAGGGACTCTCCAAACACAAGTATTCTCGTTACTGATGAAGTTTAGTTTAAACGTTACCAGTAAAGCGAAATGCATTTGCTTTCTAATTTGGGCAAATAACTTGATTCCACGTTATACCAGGAGAAAACAGTTTTATTCGAAGTTGCAGATATACGTTAATCTATTAATTAACGATGTAACACATCTGACACCGCAAGCGCTCTTTTGTACGCGGAACATACACGCATACATACCTGTTCGCCAGTGTCTGGCCACAAGTACACGGGATGATATTCGAAGTCGACCTTCTTCACCTCCAGAACTGCGATACATACAAGTACATAGCGTATATATATTGTTCAATCAGCAGCTTAGTTATTGTAGGCACATATCTTCAGTACACGCGTCAGTTAAAGGAACTGACAACTGCTTAGAGTGTATGATACTGAACAGCTGTCGTTTCATTTTTTGGATGACATTACTAGTAATTCAAAAAAATGTTAGGTATCAATGTTGAAGGAGATATCATATAGTATTCATGCTTTACGATCGCCCTTAAATGTAACAAAAATGTATCTAGCACAACCTAACAAAAGGGTCTTGAAGGTTAACTCTAGAGTGATTCACTTTCCTTTACGTAATTTTACATTGACACGCATGATAATTAGTGCTCATAATTAGAGTATGCATATTACTCTCCGTCTCTGCTTTGTGCTATGGTACTCACGAGGTAATATTAGTTGCACGCCGAGAAGCAGCACTGACTTCACGGTTAAATTAAAACATGACGTGCCGTGACTCATGAGTGCTGGTTTACGCATGCGCAGCCCACCACTGCGAACCAGTGCGAAGCGCACTTGCATTCAGTTCCCACTGTTCGCCGCATTGGTTGCTTTATACGGTTTTGTAGTGACCGCTCATCGGACTATTTTGAGCGTGAAGGCTTAATGATGTTTTCCGTGTTGCCGTTTCGTGATTAGACACTGTGACCGTAATCTTTCTGTCTCGATAGACTACACTGGTTCAATAAAAATTGGTTGTCCATCTCTTTTAAATTTATAATAGCCGTCGCGCTGCATTTCTGCCATGTTTATCTTGAAAGCATACATGAACAGTTGCTACTTTTGCAAGGTTTGCCGACGCAGCTTTTCTTTGGACGTGCATTTTCAGGGCGATGTTGCACTGTCACGTAGAAAATGCTTGACGGACACGGGGTTATGAGGTAAGGATTGAGGCCACTGTGGTAATCAGAAGTAAGGTGAAGAAGAAAAACTCACCAATGCGTACGCGCCAGCCGCAGGAACTGAGATAACTGGAAAGTAGAATGGGCTGCAAATGAACATAGTTTCCCATCGGCTCTGAGTGGCCGAAACTCTTCTAAAACTAAATAAATTATAGCGTAAACTCACCTTCGACATGGCGAATGCTGTCGAGACGAGCGAAGAGCCTCAAAGCGTACGCGGCAAAAAGTTGAGAGCTATCTGCTACTGGCTGCGGTTGGCTCGCCGAACATTTTTAGGTGCCAGCTTGTCACGGTGTGGCATTTGAGTACCTTCTGTGTTTTGGTTATCTCTTACTGCAGCGAGGTCCCCTATTGAGGTGCTTAGACATCTATTTCGCAGTGTACGTGGTTTTTGAGATAACTGCGAGGGCACCCACGTGCAATCTCCTAACTCAACGTTTCCGCGTGCAGCTACACTTGAATGCGCCGTAGTGCGCCTTAACACTTCGAGTAGAAAATGCTCAGGATCCAGATCCACATGCTACTTTTTTAGTGGTAGTGTGACGTTAGATGAGCTGCCTAAATTATACATGGTCATTTCATTACAAGGACGTTTGATATCGCAAGAAAAAAAGAAAACAGCTATGTAGAGGAGAAGCACTTAAGCTAGACATTTATTTAAAGAGCACAACAGTACAGAAGATCCCATGAGTACGTCCCGCACTTACAGCATAGGCACAAAGCATATGTGCACCCGACACGGCTGGATGGAGGTGAAGTGTACACCATTGTTTGTTAATGAAATTACAGAGGCCGCAATAACAAGCACTTCTGTTTCTTTGTTGATATTGAAAGCAACCAAAAATCCTTCCTGCGTCTTTTTTTCCTCAAAAAGGGCCATGGTAACTTTAATTGAAACTGGATCAAACAGAGTTTTTTTTTCTTTTTCTGCTGAGAATGTGGTAGGGCCTTCTTCAACAATTTTGTCCAGTGTGTTGCTGTACTCTAAGTAGCTCAAATCAATATTGTGGCTAAAACCTATAAGAAACACTATCGTCGGTACTCAGGAATAAAACATGTATTTGGCTCTTGGAGAATATAGGAGTAGGTAAAACATTATTAGACGAAGGGATGCGGCAGGAAACAATCCGCGATCTTCGCATGACCCCACTACGCTAAGCGTTATAAGTTCATGCAGTTCAATAACGTGGGCGGCCCGATCAGTGATGATGTTCTGCTTGGCGGGCTAGAATATTTTATATGAGCTTGACCAAACTTGTAGCAAAAGTATAAATCAGTTTGAATGCACGTTATAAAAATAATTTACTTAAAAATTAACCTCATTTATGTGCTTCCGTCGAGCGTAATGGCGATGACTAGGTTTGAAAAGGATGTGGTCCTTCCTGACAAAGTGTACACTATTCTGGGTGGTCGGTTGCGTTCTCTTGTTCTTGTCATTTGTGGAATTTCTTTAAAAGTGCTCAAGCTCTCCTTCTTCTTTTTCTCCTCAACTTATGGCTCATACCCAATGCAGGAAACTGGCCGAATAGTAGGTGATTTTTTTTTTCAGTATTTGTATTGCGCGTACAAGCTAAAATTACCTAGTTTCAGCAGATTCAGGCGTTTCAGTAGGCGTTATAGCAGATTCAGCTACAGAAAAGCACACATATGAGTCAATGATATTTGGAACTTCTATAACTGAAATACTCAACTTTCATAAAGCGAGTAGTATGGCCATAAATTCAGGTAAAGAGAGAATAAAATCATGCAGTCATAATGAGAAACACCACTCAAGTTGAGCGTAAAATATTTTATGCCAGATCTTTCCTGCAATAACCGCATTTCGCAATTTTCGTTTTTGCAATAACCGCTAGTGCAATAGCCACATTTTGTGACATTGTGTATAGATGCTCTCGTAAGAGACTTTTTAGAATTCCGTGAGGTGATAACAAATCCTCGAGCGTGTTAGTGACCCGACTCGTTGCCGGAGTGACCCGAGTGGGTGGGAACCCAGACCAGTTCAACGTGGCGTGTTTCGTCCCGCAGCAAGAGCGGGCGAAAGAGCCGCAGTGTGGCAGGCGAAATAAGGCCTAGGGCGAAGTGCTACACTGGCTTCGGTGTTGATGGTAGCCACGGCCACGGAGCAAACCTCCGTGATTGCCACCTCCTCCGCCTCGACGGCATAGGTTGTGCGCACGGCGGCGGCTATCACCATCTTCTTCCCATGCGGCGTCGAGGACGGCCAGACAGAGACAATAGAGAAAGCGCCACCGGTTGAGGTGTAACAAGCCGCATCCATGCAAATGAGAGCTGGGTGGTTTTCATGTTTTTTACGAAGCTTGGCTCTACAGATTTGGCAGCGGGCGTCATGGTGGCCTTTGAGTATGTTTTTAGGTAGTGGCTTGACGCAGAAGACTGCCTGAAGGGCGTGCGGTAGTGATAAAGAGTCTGGTTGATAAGAAGAGGTGTGGCCGATGAAAAGGAGGAGCCAGTGACTGGTATGAGAACGACAAAGTCGTTGCACTTGAGCAGTACGGTGAGCTTCAATCAACTCGTCGATGGTGTTGTGTACCCCTAGGCGGAGAAGGTGGTCCGTTGACGCGTTGGAGGGAAGTCCAAGGGCAGTCTTGTATGCTCGACGGAAGGGCACGTCAATTTCGTCACGTTTGGATTTGAGGAGGCAAGTGTAAGACAGGTTGTAGGTGAAACGGGTGATGATGGAAGCGTCTACTAGGCGCAGTAGATCGTGTTCGCGCATACCCTCGCGCCGCATTCGAAGACGAGCTACCATGCGCATAGGCTGATGATGATGGTTTATGGGGTTTAACATCTCAAAATTGCGATACGATTATGAGAGACGCTGTAGTGGAGGGCTCCGGCAATTCGGACCACCTGGGGCTCTTTAACGTGCACCCAAATCTGAGCACGCGGGCCTACAACATTTCCTCCTCCATCGGAAATGTAGCTACCGCTGCCACGATTCAATCCCATGACCTGAGGGTCAGCGCGTAGGCTGCTGAACAGAAAGCGAGAACTGGTCAGTAAGTAGTGCGAGTGCTGTGACGGTTGAACCGAAAGACACAATCCAGCACGTGGAAATGAGAGATGGCGGGGACGGGGGTGGAGCTGGTGTGCGTGGCAATCAAGTATTCTACTACAGAGCCAGCATGCCAGCTCTCGGAACTACCTTTCAAATAGACACAAATGTTCGTGAAACGCCAGTTGCTATTGCAGTGCTGGCTTTCCAATTTTATAAACATTTGGTGGGGGCTGCCGAGATACCCAAGAAGACCTGGAGCTCCGCTCTCGCAAGGTGGCCGAAAGACCACCGCACAGCATGACTGACGCAGTCGCCAACCAGCCCTTCTCAGCACAGCCAGCACCATCGGCTGTCCCGTCTACCTGCCCCGGCGCTACCCGTAAGTGGGACCCACCAATCTTTAGCGGCAGTGGTGAGCAAGACGCCTAAGGCTGGCTCTTCTTGTACGAACGCATTCCAGAGGTTGCTGGCGAAAAGCCCGAACACGGTGTCATTTCTCGTAAGCCTGTACCAGAGCTTCGATGAATTGCACCGTCAGCGTTCCATCGGACAACAGAGTGTTCCACCACCAGATTAGATCTTGGCCATCGCACTCGCAAATGGCAACGTTCGCCAAGAAAGTTTGTCGAACCAGATAAAAGCCTTCATCGGGGAGGAAGTCGCCCGACAGCTCTCCCTGCTGCCGCATAGCGACTCGCCCTCCGCAAGCCATCCTTCAACACTGCAGCAGGCCATACGCACTGAAATTGGCGATGTCCTACCAACAGTTCCGGCCCCTTACCCAGCACGTCCACCAAATGTGATGACGTTTATTCAAACAGAGAAGTCGCAATGAGGTCGCAACAGAAAATGGCCGTACGGTAAGTCTGGCAAAGGCGGCACACGTTCTTGCGCGATGATAGCGCGGGGTTTTTCGTTCTCTTCCGAAGGCGCATGCGCGTTGGTGCGTATGCTCCACTACAATTACATATGTGGTTTCTACGATACAGCTGGTCCATCTGGTTAACATCAATTGTTAGCATAGCGTAATGAACGCTACTGTTCTTAGAACTACTTATGTATGCCTTTCCCAGCACAGAGAAGCCCACCACAGATTATTGACGTGTTGATATTGTGCCTCAAATACGCGTGATTCTTGCTTTTTAATCGACAATGCGCACAAGTATGAAAGCGAAAAAACAGCTCAGGATTGGTTGGCGTTCAAGAAGCGGTTCAACTTTGGCCCAGTAGCTTGAATTGTTTCGGTTGACCGACAGACAAGTTGAAAGACAGACAGGTCAACATTATGTGTCGAAGTATCCTAAGAAAGACAATTGTCTTTGAAGATCTTCGATGTACACCATGTACGGCCCCGTCGAGACGTGGTGCAAGAGATCTTCCTGGGCGACTCTTTGCCGTGCAATAGGCTTTCCGGAGAGGTCTTTTTTTTTAAAGCCGATAGTATTGATAACCACATGTTGTTACGCTACATGGCAATGCACACTTGTACCATGCGATATTGCTGAGATATTACATGTTCCATTGTGAAGCCTGTATACAGGACACATGTGTTTCTAAGGCATGAAGGTAAATATCACTGCATGTCGAAGGAGACGACGTTATTTTAACTGTAGAACACACATGCTTGTCCCACTTCAATTCTTACTCGAAGCCGGGTAGTTTTATTATTTATGTTGTTTTCATCTATTTCCATTTTTCTGTCCTGCACAAGATGACAATTTTTAGCTCACAACAAATGACGACCAGGCCGACACCGACACTAATACCGACGCTAACGCCAATGCCTACACAAACGCAAACTTTCGGCGAAACAAGCTCTTTCACACAATTGATTTGATATGTGGGATTTAACGTCCCAAACTGTTTCACACTATCACGTGAATATTTGCAGGAGCATGTGCAAAAGAAGTTGCCAGATTATAGATGTAAATAAATGTAGGCGTCCATGACCACATTACCGAATATGATTAAACGGAAGCTTTATTGCACATAGGCGAAATCATTTGCTTGATTATGGACGCAAAAGAAATGCAACAATTAGTAGACAAATTACCATACATGACTGGTCATCCATTATTATTAGCAACAACGCGAGGGAAGCCCATCGCCCGATTATGAACACAATGAAAATAGGAGCATTTGCGGATACAATACAAAGCAGGTTGAACAAGAAGTCTTATTTTTTTTTTGAAGCAGCACATGTGGAATAATCTGCTTAATGATCAATACAAGGAATGTGTGGCCATTTAGGGATCCATTCCTAAACATTATTAAGAGGAAC